ATGTCTGAGGCCCATCCTGATTATTTCTCTCTAAATGAAAATGCCTTTGCATGATTGAGTCATTTGTGTACTTCTCAGAAAAGAAGTGAAAGAACACCCGATGCTTTCATAATGTATTAGTTAATCTGTCCTGGCTTGACTTTCTTTAACTTGTTTTGAGTAGTGTATTTACCTAATGAATTGGTTTGTTATTGTGTTTTACATATCAAAACTATGGTTGTACTGAAGGTGGTGAATTTAACGAATTCAGACGATATTTGATCCTAATAATGAAACTATCTGCTTTCACGTGACACTGAATATGAACGTCCAGCGTTCATTAATGACCTGATCGTTGTTACTAAGTTAATAAAGACAAAAATAAGTTGGAAAACGTGAATCCCGGGTCCATATTTATACCCTACAGAAGGTCTCAGGATTACCAGGGCCAACTATCGACAGGACCCACAAGTTAACCTGCACACCGTGTTCTGACTATTACACGGGCGGGACCTCTAACCTTTCACGTTTGGCGCTCAAATAAATCAATCGAGAGTTTCATTCTTATTGACATAAGAAGGTTAAGCCAGGTTCTAGTTGTAATTATTAAAGGGAGCCTTGGTTGTGTAGACAGGAGATTTGACTCAGAGTTTGAGCTCTTACTTCCAGCGTGTGATTGCTAAGGGTTGAGTCGCGACATGATTAAGCGATTTGAAACGAGTTCTCTGAGCCTGCAGCTTCGGTTGCCAGGCAAGCGTCCGATCTCAACCGACAGCCAACATCACATCCGGGCTCTTATACCCAAAAGCTTTCAGAGCTCCGACAGTTGGACTGTTTTCAAACCGCGTGGCCAGAATCAACAGTTGTCTAAATGTAGTCGTAAATTACAGATGTGTTTGGAAACAACTTGTCATTGGAGCTAACATACCCAAACCACATCAAACACCCGGACTTGCACACCAGATTGTAGCTTCGTCTCGGCTAGCTGATACATGGTGAAGCAGATGGTAACGCGTAGAGGACTTTATGCGTTAATGCTTCATAGCAAGACGCAATGTGAATCGTTTGTATGTAAATGCAATGAAATGACTTGATTCATTTGTCTGCATAATTTAAAAGACAAATAAAGTTCCTTTACGTTCCATTCAAACACAAAGTAAAAATGCACCCTGTGCAGTTTGCAGTCTTAACCACTGACTGCACGTAGTACATGTATGCATCATAACAAGAAGGATACAAGTATTGAGAATAAGCATGCACCATAACATGCAAATCTTATAATATGCATACTGTATATATATATATAAACACAATACATGTATAATGTGCATATCGTACACACAATACATATATAATGTGCCTATTGTACACACAATACATATATACTGTGCATATTGTTCACACGATACATACATAATGTGCATATTGTACCCACAATACATATATAATGTGCATATAGTACACAATACATATATAATGTGCATATTGTACACACGATACATATATAATGTGCATACTGCAGACACACTACATATATAATGTGCATACTGCAGACACACTACATATGTAATAGGCATACTGTACACACGATACATATGTACTATGTACTATGTATAATGTACGATGAGACACACATAGTAAACATTCTCTTTCATAAGGGGGAGAGTTGCGTCCTCTGGGCACGTCAGAAATTTGTGATCGTGGGTTCGAATCCCGGTTCGCCCCGAATATGTTTCTAGGTTTGTCAGCACCATAGCTGTGTTCGTGGTTTCTTCCAAAGTGATAAACGTCTGGGACCTGCATCACTCCGGGCTTTCCTCCCACATTACGCTGCCACGACGTGATGGAAGTGGAGTGTTGTTCAAAGCGGCGTTAAACCAAACTTACTCACTCGCTAACCTATGAGGTACACGTATCCTATCCATGTTGGAACATTTGATACAGTTCCAACAAATGTACACCACGTTCATATGTGAATATACGTGTTTAGCAGGCTATTCGATTTGTGTAAATTTTATATCTCTAATGTGTGTCGACAGGTAAGTATTCAACAGTTGTAGGTTTATAGTTCGGTTTACGGGTATGCATTAGTTGAAGGTCAGTAATATGTATATACAGATAGGCATAGGATATTGTGTGCAGTAGGTATAGGTTCGTAGTATTTATATATGTTCGTGCACACAGATAGGTGCAGAATAAAAGTTTACAATAACAAGGGTTTATATACTGCGTCGAAACGTGTATCAGAAAATGAATGTTTGTACAGTAATTCTTCATTGAGAAAACCTACTAACACGGCACCTGAAGTGGATATTGTTTACCTTGCGTAATACATATATTCTTGTGAAGGACTTTTACGCTGAAATTCGCTGCTGTACACCGGAAGTAAAGATATTAGGTAATAAATACGTTTAGACACTCAAATCAGTTTGACAGGTCCTCAGCAAATGCCTGCAGATGTTTGCACTTCTAAAATGTCAACATGAATTATATATGAGTAGGGGTGAGAGTTCGCATATTTTGGGGTCTGCCGCTTCACTTTAACAGCACTGCGTTCCCAAAATCAATAGCTTGATGTCATCTGGCCATAATAGTAACCTTCATTTATAATCATCGATTACCAGAAATCGCCAGTCATTGATAAGTCAATGCAGAGTACGTTTTACGTGATGTAACCCTTGTTCATTTGACCTCTTTCAAACACAGTCCATGGAGGAACAACGTGACCTTGTTCATACCTACGTATCGGATTCATGAACTGGTAAACACATCATGCCTGTCATCAGCGGGGATTTTTACATATCTAATCATATCCATAAAATGAATGTATTAATCTATAAGGTTCAATTTCACCACTAAGGATTTAGCATGTACTAAGGTTTTCTGTAAGGTTTACGTTCATTGCACTCGTGAAGCAAGAATCCGTTATGGCGCGCACCTGCTCAAATAAAACCAAGCGTGCGGTAGGGTGGGTAGTCTCTCCCTTGCTTGATCAAATGGCTGGAGCCCTCTCCAGTCTTCCATTCTCGTGGTTATTTCTACCCAGATCGTGCGGGAACTGGGAGCCGCGGAATTTGAATGCCGTGGTAATTTATGGTAGTCCCGCTGGATGTCGGTAGAGCAATAGTAAAAGCAAACACCCGGACTAGGCAACTGAGTCATGTGTTGGGGTCTCTGTAGTTGGTCCAATACCGCCTGCAGTTAATAACGCCACATTGCCGCCATGGATCGATGCTTGGCACGGTCAAATTATTCAAAATGTGTTCCGTCTTTTAGCCGGGTTTGTACCTTTCCATGTTAATATATCAAACTAAAACCGCCAACTGCCCGCAACCTCTACACATCGACACGATGTAGCTTTGGTGTTGAAGTAGTGTGTAAATACAGCGTTTCAACCTCCTCGCGTCAGACTGACCCCTCGCCATGTTACAACCCGAGTTAAGAGGTCACCTTGAGGCCTGGTGTAAACAACATAAGACATATGTCGTCCTGCTCGTTGCTATGGTTAGATATATGTGTTGAATCTTCTAAAATTTGTTTGAATAGAACAGTTTATTGGTATTCAAAGCAATTGTCAACATACCGCTCAACTGGAGCGCCTTACTCTGGGACAAAGAGAGTTATAAATCATTACTGTAATGAACTTTAATATGAAGGCATATAACAAAGAGAAACACACACATATATAGTCTATATCACCCAGGACCCTACATATCACAACTCGTATACAAGAAAGATACCACCTATGGTCTAAGGTTAAAATTAGATCAGATAAAAAAGTGTCAACACCTCGGTTTAGATGCAGCTCAAAATCTTTATTTTGCAATTGGTAGGAAGATGCAGCTCACATCTTTATTTTACAATTGGTAGGAAGATGCAGCTCACATCTTTATTTTGCAATAGGTAGGAAGATGCAGCTCACATCTTTATTTTGCAATAGGTAGGAATTGTAGGAAAAACAACATGATTTGTCAGGTTTGTAGGTTGTGTTATGTTGAAGGTGAGAATCAATGTTTTCTTGTTTATCAATTTATGTTCCTAATAATCACCTTTTCATCATTATATTTACACATTATACTTATTATTAAGAGCGGAAGGTCCGGTGTTCGATCCCCGGCCGCGTTATACCCAAAGTCTTTTAAAGTTGGTACCTGTTGTTACCCTTTCTGGCGCTCGGGATAAAACATGGACTGGTCGGCTCGGAGTCAGTATACTGTGTCTGAGTTGGGGTATTCATGTTAAACTGCGGCATGGTATCTCAGTGGGCTAGCAATATATATCGGCAGCCACACACACACACACACACACACACACACACACACACACACACACACACACACACACACACACACACACACACACACACACACACACACACACACACACACACACACACACACACACACACACACATTGATGACTACCTTCCTGCATTTGCACTGCCAGGTGTACATCTTTCAGACAGAAGGAATGAATACACTTAGGTATAGGATCTTTGTAATACTATGAATGAAGAGAGTGTTAACAGGTTGTACATCAGTGTTAATGTGACAAGGTGAATACTGCCCTAGTACTGACATAAACATAGTTTAGTATAGATATTTAACCATTAAGCAACTACCCATGAAGTGAAAACCGTGAATGCATGTACCTGTCCATTAAGAGTTGGAGTAACTACATTTCTTAGAAAAGAATTATTGGTGCCTTGTTTGTACGTGTTCCCTATATAAAGGCGACAAACACCATTTCCAGCATCAAAATAAATCTCAGCCAGAGGCAGAGTTAATTGTTCGATTCCGACCATATCATGAGCATGTGTTTATGAATCATGATGATACTATTTGTTCGCGAAAAGGTGAGCGTATGCTGCCCCACCGGTGGCACCGAACAAAAATGAATTCACTGTATGTGCATTAATCATTCTGAACACACAAACAAAAATGTTAAAATGACCTATTTCGCTGTAACATGTTAAATCTGCTTTGAGTTTATTGCCATTCTCCTTTTTCTGATTCGTGCAGTAACCGACGCTGACTATTATGCTGAAGGTCGGGAATGTGTCAACTGTGGAGCAGTGTCCACACCACTGTGGAGGAGGGATGGCACTGGGCATTACCTGTGCAATGCTTGCGGACTCTACAATAAAATGAATGGCGTCAACAGGCCGCCATTGAAGGCTCCAACAGGCAGGAGAACGGTAAGTCGAAGACCGGAAGAACACACGACAAGATAAAAGGGGAAATGTTTCAGTAATATCAACAGGGTCGCCGCTCCACATGAACTTGTTTGATTTGTCAAGAAAATGTCTCATACAGAGGACCTTCAGAATCATCCTGGCCAGAAGAGATATAATATGTTTCACTCTACCAGCAAAAATGATATGGTATACATTCTAGTGCTAGAACTTTTGTCGTGGCCCTTTGAATGTAAGGTGAAATTATGATTAATTACTTGATATGATCCCAGCAAATTGTCAAGGATGATTTAACTTGAACCATACTGTGATCTAGTAAAGCAGCCTAATATTCAGGCCTTGTGGCTCAGTTCACCACCACAAAACACCAAGTGATCCCGGATACCACGCCCTATGTCTTCTATTGAAACTTAAAAGGTTTTCTTTCTATTCTACAGCCCGACATGGAAGAGGAACGAGAGAAGAAATATGCAGAAATAATATACGAAAAGGTATTATCATACTGACATTCTGTACACTACATGCATTGTCAGACCACAGACCCATACCTTTGTCTCCAAAAAGTTAGTGATAGGTTTGTGTAAATTTGACAATCTCACCCAAGACTATGATTTCATTCAATGCATTTTTTAAACCACCGAGTGACATTAATAGTATTTCCAGCGCCGATGAAACAAAACATACATAATCTTTACCTTGTCCCCTAATCAGGACAGTCGGCCTCTTACTTAGGACACAAGTTTAGATATTGATTTCGTTAGTACTAGTTCTGGCATATCCCAACAGTCGTTAGCTATTCGTTATCCATATATCACATACTCTTTAACGATAATAAGTATTGGTTGGTTGAGATTGTCTAACATAGTAGAAGTTGCCTCCCTTTAAGGTAGTAACAGACAAGGCATTCTCAAGTTGTAAGCTAAGGTTCATATTTACACTGACTTTTATATTTCATACCTTGTGAATTTAATTTCTTTTCCTTTTCATAATGAAGTCGCCCCTCCCTTTCCAGCGCCGCTTGTCACCCGACCTAGAGGAGGAGAGGGACGCTGTGGCTAATATCACTCCCCCAGAGACGGGGGGCGGGCCCATCAAGATGGCGAAGTCCATACTGGTATGTGGCAAAGACACGTTTTCCAACACTGACACGTGTTCGCCCATGTAGTCATCCATAAAAAAAGAAATTACCTATTATCGGATGCTTTAGTCGTCAAAAATATTATTAAAGTCGCGTTTGTTACATGACAATGTTTCAATTTATTAGGCCTGTTTCGATAAAAAAAAAAATTCTCTCTAAACTTCAATAGTCCCCAAACAAATATTCGAAAATGGTGTATTATTTTAGTTCAATAGTGTTTCATTTTATGTTCCATGTGTAATAGTTCTTCAGGTTGAAACTCAGTGTGGTTTGTTTTGTTGCTCGTGGTTCTGTTTATTTCATACGTTCTTTACTTTCTTTCACAGCAACAACAGTCCGGCGGAAACAGACGTATGGGCCTGTCATGTGCAAACTGCGGGACAACAACCACCACCCTATGGCGGAGGAACAGTGAGGGAGAACCCGTGTGCAACGCGTGTGGGTTGTACTACAAGCTACACCAGGTGAGACCTCATCCAGAGTGGTCTCTTCTCATCTGAACTACAGGAAGTTGTTACATCTAGAGTGGTCTCTTCTTATCTGAACTATAAGAAGTTGTTACATCTAAAGTGGTCTCTTCTTATCTGAATTATAGGAAGTTGTTACATCTAAAGTGGTCTCTTCTTATCTGAATTATAGGAAGTTGTTACATCTAAAGTGGTCTCTTCTAATCTGAATTATAGGAAGTTGTTACATCTAGAGTGGTCTCTTCTTATCTGAATTATAGGAAATTGTTACATTAGGGTGACATCTCATCTGAACTACAGGAAGTTGTTACATTAGGGTGACCTCTCTGAACTATAGAAAGTTGTTACATCTAGAATGGTCTCTTCTTATCTGAACTATATGAAATTGTTACATTAGAGTGACCTCTCATCTGAACTATAGGAAGTTGTTACATCTAGAGTGGTCGCTCCTTATCTGAACTATAGGAAGTTGTTACATCTAGAGTGGTCTCTTCTTATCTGAATTATAGGAAGTTGTTACATCTAGAGTGGTCTCTTCTTATCTGAATTATAGGAAATTGTTACATTAGGGTGACATCTCATCTGAACTATAGGAAATTGTTACATTGGAGTGACCTCTCATCTGAACTATAGAAAGTTGTTACATCCAGAGTGATCTCTTCTTATCTCAATTATAGGAAGTTGTTACATTAGGGTGACCTCTCATCTGAACTATAGGAAGTTGTTACTTCCAGAGTGATCTCTTCTTATCTGAATTATAGGAAATTGTTACATTGAAGTGACCTCTCATCTGAACTATATGAAGTTGTTACATTAGAGTGACCTCTTATCTGAACTACAGGAATTTGTTGCATCCAGAGTGATCTCTTCTTATCTGAACTATAGGAAGTTGTTGCATCCAGAGTGATCTCTTCTTACCTGAACTATATGAAGTTGTTACATTAGAGTGACCTCTCATCTGAACTACAGGAATTTGTTACATCCAGAGTGATCTCTTCTTATCTGAACTATAGAAAGATGTAACTCTGTAGCTTAACTGCGGGTACTTGTGAACGAAATTTTCTGCTTCCAAAAACGCAGGAAATATACATTTCTTAATAATACAATTGTTCACTGTATATGCTGGATATTCTGAAAAATATTGCGAGTCCTTAAAATCTTTTGGCTCCGCCTTTCAAAGAAACAATTATACATAGTTAAGCGCTGACTGAAACGCTATTCTGTCTCAAACAAAACTCGATGTCTCTCTTACACTATTAAATGATCGGTTCCTAATTCATGGGTTTGGTTAAGAAATAAATGAACATCTTTGTTATTTGAAAATACTTGCCTTGGACAGGTATATATCTTCTGTATTGCATCCAGGTCAATCGGCCGCTGTCTATGAAGAAAGACGGAATCCAAACAAGAAAGAGGAAACCCAAAACACCTTCTTCTAAATCCAGGACACCTCCCAAGGACTTGCCCATGCACAACCACTCGATTGAGCACTCCCCACCACAGCACATGTCCCACCCCCAGACATCCCTACCCCCAATGTCCTCTCAAGGCCCCTATGACCTCACCCTCAATCGGTCAGAACCGATTCAAAGTAAGCCGCCATATTGGAACTCTGCCGTCATGCCTTCCAACTACTGTGAGATTTCTACTTTCGCTATTTATTTGATCGGACTCAATAGTTTGTTTAAAGTACAAGTGTACATAATCTTATTCTTAACGTTACCTTTGTTTCTCCATAACACCTTTGTACATTAAAAGAAATATATATTCAACAACTCAACTAAGCGTGATGCTAAATATTAAAACATAACAAAATATTGAGTCGGATGCTTTTTTGTTTCTCTGTGCTTTAGTAAAAAATGTACCTGTATGCGATGTGAGCTACTTTTAGATAAACTTTTACACGTTTCTGTATTAATTAAAAAATTTATAGGCAGGTATTGCCTGTATAATTTCAAAATAAATTAGGGAAGTAAACTTGACGATTCCCAGTAGGTCAAGTAACTGATGAGTCATATTGATGCTATCAACTGTTACGTCAATAACATTTTTCTCTAGAACAGTCCCAACTTCAAATTCGTTAACATCCTATTCTTGTGATTCCTATGTAGCAATTCATATTTAAGAAACTTCCATGTACTTTTGCGTTTTTCGCTGTGACTTGTTCTATTCAAGCCTCTTATATATAAGCCTCAATATATAACCTCTTGTATGCAATTGCTTCCACAACTCATCCATAGCCGTTTTGCCATACATATATGCTTGAGTGTTGTCTACGTGCGTTCGGTGTATTCATTAGAATCAGGATTAAATGTACACAATGCAGTGATGACATGAATGACTATCGTTACTGAACAGTGCTAAACCAAGTGAAGTAGGAAACACACCTATGTCCACATCAAAAGTTATAGTGAAACTAAAGACAGGATATCTTCAGCTGACCACGTTATCGTACGTTTAAGGGACCTTACTCCTGGAATTAATCAGCTATATTCCTTTGGGTAAACTGCCTTGGAGAACACTAACACCTTTACTTTCATTCCAGCCTCAGAGATGAAGCCTCTTCCCTCCTACTCGTCTCTGTATTCGCACAACTCGGCAGTACTGGCAGCACTGACTACACCGCCAAATCCCCCAGCTCTCCTCCCAATATCAGCGTTAACACCTTCAGCTCGGAGCCAACATCCCCTTCCTGAAGACGTTGAGAGATCCATGGGCCTTGACCATAACCTAATGCTCAAACATGCCGCGGAGCCCCTGTTCTCCCCCTCGCCACCCAAGGCTGTTCCAGTTAACAGCGGCATTACACCAGAACCGGAAGTTGGTGCGTCATCAATGGGACAATCTGAAATTGTTCAATTAAAACCAGCTTCGGTCGGCCAAACATAGAGGACGGAAAGATACAACGAGAAGATAAGGGAAACAGGGTAGTCATTGTTCTACCCGACTGTTCCTATAAATGCACTGACCTTGACATGCGGCATCCAGAAATGTCAGTGGTCTTTTTAAGGACTTCTTATATCTATTTATATGTATATATGGAAAGACTAAATCATAAGGTTACAACCTTCAGCTCAGCAAACAGAAACTTACCGATGTAAGGAGTGACAAAATAAATACGTACGATAGACAATGGTGTACGAACTATAATGATATGTGAACTCTGATGTTGACCCTGGTTCACTCATGTGATAACGAGAAGTGTCGCAGGGCCTTAGAGTTACCGCTCCTTTTGATGATAACGCCAAATCTTGTCGTGAGGACTGTTGGTGGAACTGCGACAACGTGAAAGAGGCGTTAATTGTTTGGTAACCGTGGACGCCGTGCCAACAATACGCCACTTTGTGTCAAGTGGAACAATGTAACCTCTTTGACTGACAACTCTGTACCAAAGATACCATCATCATGTTTTCTCTGAGAAAGGGTAAATGTTCAATTCATCACTCATACCGCGTGACAGACATCACGTGGCCACAACACTTGTCACCTCCCAATTCACTTGCCATATTAGGTGCTGTGCTTTTAATGATGTAAAATGACATGCATATATTGTTATTGTACTGATTGGCGGATTTATGTTGCTTCTTGTGAATGTCTTCAAAATAATTCCAGTTTTAAGGCGAAGAATGCCCGACATATTAAGTATGTACGTTGTAAATATCATCCTTTAATATCTGATGACGATACTGCGTATAAAATATGTAGGCATCAGTGCCAATAAGACTAACCACTTGGTTGTACCTTCATATTGTCCTAATCAAGATCGATGATCGCTTTGATTCATTGATGTCAAAGTATTATGATTCAGTGCTCATTGTTCATATTCAGGTGATATTTTTACCTGGTGTATACCTATGTTTGAATGCATTTATTGCTACTGTTGGCGTAAATGGGAACTGCTAGAATTTTAGGGGAATATACAATATGTGCCTGCACCACATTCGTCATATGCCACGAAGCATTATGGTATTTGTCTCCTCCGTTCAATGTTGCTGATTTCGTATAATATGAGTGGGACCAACTGAAATCACGAGTTATTACCTTGGTTATGCAAACTGCCATTGGCCTTGTCCTGAATCATGTGGGATATGTTTTTCATCTACTGTCATTACCAATGTTTTCAAAAGAAAAGAGCTATTTTACATCAGTTGCAAATGTTTTATTTTAATGTGTAACTCATAATCGAAAGAACGCACACTGCGATTCATTGCTTTCCAAGGACTAGATGTCCAATGTGATTACGATGAGTCACAAAAGTGAACACATGTGTTCACGACATATCCGTACGTCAGACATACAACTGTTATGAATTCTGACGCAGGGTGGAGGTCGTTCCGAGTCTGCGCCTAGCTAAACATTATCATGTATCTTGTGGATACTGGCACATATAGCTGGCGCAATTAGGGTTACAATGTTTGGATTAACTAATTTTGAGATTTCCAGAAATCTGCAAATAAATAATCCAATTTCTTGACATATGAATATTTGAATGACATATTTTTATCGTCTCATCACAAAAGAAGCGGCAACCTTCTGTAATTTTAATTATGAAACATGTATTTATTTTCTTATTATCAATTAAATTTGCCGAGTTTTCAAGTCAATATTTAGATATGTAATAATGATAATGGACGCTCAATAAGGCCTATAGTAATGTAGGATATCGGCGTTCGACCAATAGTGGCCAGCTAGTTGAAAGATGATTGGCATTCGACTTTTTCTTTTCTTTTTGTCTGATTTCGTATTGTTTGATTCACGGCTGTTTGTCAACGGAATTTGTACTTTACTGACCAGTACAATTGTATCTAAGATCTATGTGTGTATCTGGTACTGACGAATGAGCGCTGGTGTCATGACCGAGTGGTAGGATTCTTCCTTCTATCTTATCTTTAATGTTTCTACTTATTGTGCTGACTTTGTTGATTCAAATCTGATATGTGCCATGCCATACAACTAACGACGTAGGCTACTATTTCCTTTGTTGCTAGTCAGTAAATCGTTTTTTCTTATTTCTGTTTGTGCGTTGACTATTCATATTTGGCTTGTGCTGGGGATTCTAAACTAAAGTTAGCTCTCCTGTCGCATATAGGAAACAACATTTCTCATTTTGTATTCAACAAGGGGACCAGACGAATACATATCAAATGTCATTTGGCTTCAAAAATCGTCTTTCAGTAACCGATATATTGCTGACGTCAAGCAACATCGGTCCATTGGCAGACCAGACAAGAAGGTTTTGGGCCACACAGAATTCATTAATTGTTCGCCGGAATCACCGCCGCCTGTTTCTACTTTCTATTTTCTATGATGTTTTTAATGGCCAAAGTAACATGATCAGGTACAACGTTTCAATCCTTATATCCTCCAATAATTTATGTTTAGATCATCCAACAATACATGATGAAGTCCTCCAACAACCCATGATTAAGTCCCCGACAATCCATGATTAAATCCTCCAACAATCCTTGTTTACATTATCCAACAATCCATGATTTAGTCCCCGACAACCCATGATTAAATCCTCCAACAATCCTTGTTTAAATTATCCAACAATCCATGATTAAGTCCCCGACAACCCATGATTAAATCCTCCAACAACCAATGATTAAGTCCCCGACAATCCATGATTAAATCCTCCAACAATCCATGATTAAATCCTCCAACAAGCCATGATTAAATCCTCCAACAACCTATGATTAAGTCCCCGACAACCCATGATTAAATCCTCCAACAACCAATGATTAAGTCCCCGACAATCCATGATTAAATCCTTCAACATTCCTTGTTCAAATCCTTCAACAATCCATGATTAAATCCTACAACAATCCACGTTAAAATCAATCCATACTATCAATCCTCCAACAATCCATGGTTACCATGACACCCCATCCCAACGCACCCTCATCCCCACCCCAACAATCCATGATTGAATACTTCATCTATCCAAGACAAACTCCTCCTACAATCCATGATAGAATTCCTCCAAAAATAAATACACACTGAAACTCCGGTATCCGAGTTATTTTGTTCCCAGTAAAATGGCATCAACAAAAGTAGGTCTGGATTAACGAACCAATGTTGCTGCGTAATATCCCATTGACATATCTTGTCGATTCGGGAAACCTGGGTTTTTGGAATACCAGGATCCGGACTGACGAGATTTCACTGTACGTTTATGCAAGTCATTTCCATATATAAAATTGGATCTTATTTGCACAGTTAAATGTCTCTATGCTTATTTATAAATCAATGCCCGTAAGCTCCTAATATTTCTCCTTTCGTCCGACGAGCAAACAGTGAGTTTGCTGTGGCCTTCAGCAAAAGTATTGATGTTGTAAATCTCAGTTGTGATTGAACAATTTGCCTCACTAGAAGTAGCCTTCAAGCTTGCCAGTCGAAATTTCCATGCCTTACAAACGAGATGTTTATACAAATGTAGTTTCACCATATCATTGAAATAAACTTGTCTACAAAATGTCATGTATTGTATGTTGTGAACATATTAGGTTGTATATTTGCCTTGTTTCACCATGTCAGAGACGAAGCAATATTTCCATATTGTTCTTATTTCAATGTTATGAAACATACATACAAATATATTTTTAAAACAATCCAAACAGGACACAAGATAAAGGGACTTAAACCGAAATGGCTTTTTTATGACATCGTTTCAGATGATTAATTCCGTAAATATATAGAAGCGAAATATACTTAAAAGGGTTTTTTTCTCTCTCATACGGAGGCCTTAAAATATTAGAATTTGGGTCACACAAACCCGAGGTTGACGGAATGAGCATCATCCTAGGCCGTCGTGGTATGGGGATGCACAATGAGTGCCACTGTAACCATCCGACCCTCCTGCGGCCCGGAATCTCTATGGAGAATCCCCGATGTAGATCAGAAGGGACAAATATCTTCGGCACCAAGGCTTTCCAACTTCCTGTTATTGGCCATCAACGCACATTGCATCTCATACTTGATATTTGTCCAAACACACCAGGGATTCAGGGGTAGTGTACGTCCCCAGTCGAAAGCCGAATACAATGAGACATGACTGATGAATCGGTCTGGGCCAGTCTTGATTATTCACACAATTCGAAGGTCCAGGAATTCTGGGACATTGGTTTGAACCTTGTTGCTGGTCGATGTGACTTGGCCGATGACGTCATCGCAATCCCCACTGGTTTGGACCATGCCGACGTTGTTTGCAATGGAATTTCTATTTAAGACTGCATTGTACTAAAAAACAAACGTTCATAAATTTTATTAAGCAAATAAACATCACAATACAATATCAAAGCTATGTACAAAGTGTTGTCATTCTTCAATTTTACTGTCATAAATGAACAAAGTAAACTAAAAGAGGAAAAGACGTTTCATTCGACTGTGTCAGGCATGTACAAGTAAATAAGTTGCATGTTGATTTGTTGTTATTGGCACAATGACGATTGTACTCTGTAGAAACATTCGTATATTAAACAAATGAAAAGTGCTACAGTATGCATTGGTCATAAATATAACCATGCACTCGTATCTTTTTTATAAAAATATTAACACTTCCTAAGATAGATCTCGGAGTTTGCTACTTTAAACTCACTAATGCTGATATATTTGATATTTGAAGATACACTAGTGGGGTTCGCTATTTACCCTACATCATTGCAGTAATGATACAGCCCCGGCAGTTATAGTGTGTTGCCCTGAGACGGTATTACGCATACTTTGTAAACGTGGATACACGTAAGGTACTTTACTTTCACATAGTAAGTCAAGGCAGATGTCCATGTCGTTAAAGGTGCCGTCACTTCCTGCTCTGCGGTCCTTAGGCTGAACATGAGCCGATGAAAGTTGTTTCGAATCACTGATTTGCCTTGATTGTGATCCTGGGTTTATCAGCACCATACCCGAGCTCGTTGGTTTCACTAAAGTGAAAAACGTCTAACATCTGCATCACTTCGGGCTTTCCTCCCACATTAAACAGGCCGTGATGTAACTGAAATCCTGATCAAATCGGCGTTAAAACTAACTCACTTTCTTACTACAGTTGAACTTTTCTTTTATTCATCTGTTCAATAATATTCATTTATTACGTGGATTTCACCAGTTTGTACCTGTACTCTTTGTACTTTCCCTCCACATTATTCCTACACGCAGTGCTGAGACAGAAATCACTCCCATACCAAATGTTTAAGACAAGTTTGCAAGATAAAACCCCGTGGTGGACCAACTGCGGTCATGTGAGTTGCAATATACGAGGTATGTATTATTGGTTACATCGCCTCACGTGTCGGTATTCGATGTAAACGCTGTGATATATCTATCTGAATATAACAAGCTTAACTACTCCTCCCGGGGCCGTAGCCTAGTGGTTATTGCATCCGCCCGTTATACCAAACTCGGGTTCGATTCCCTAGTCCCATTCTTGGTGCCCCTCGTCGTGATACGACTTGACTATTGCTAAAATTATTTAAAATTCATACTCACGCACTCACTCAAAAACACAATTATTCTATTCTATGTAAGCTTGTGTTTACATTTATCTGTAACATACACACACACCACATTCAATACCATCAGAACTATTCAAATATTTACTTCTGGTGTCGCACTTAGTCTGTTAACTCTTTAATTTTCATCCTCTATGTTTATTCGAATTAAAGCACAATTGCTCAATTAAGGTAAAGCGTTCAACATGCCACAGATGATGTTATTTACGCGATCATTGATATTTTCTTTGGTAATTAGTTTTGTGTAAGGTAGACATTTTAAAAATAAATATTCATCTATGCAGTCGCTGCCATAGCATAAATCAAATTATGTACGTGTAATAAATGATAAAAAAGAAAAACCCAGATACCTTTAAAAGATTTAATTGTATGTTGTGGTTGGTATATCGTCATAGCATAACTCAACATGTAAAAAAAATGTATTCTTCAGTCACATAATAAACTCAACTGACGGGTCACAAGATATTGATTAATGATATAACATCAGGAAAACTTTAAAAGTTCCGGCTGGTCTACAAATACGACAAAGCATTTTCTATTTTTTTTTAAAAAGCAAATGTAATCTTCTTTTTTATGTTTACGGAAGAACATATTGAGTCCTTTCAACAACACTTTCATACACAGGCATTGATTGGCGTAGTCTGTGCCTCGATATGTATGTAGTCATCGTTCTTTTCAAAGATGGTATGAAGGGTTCGCTTGCAGTTGGTTTACTCCCTATAGTATGGATAGTGTAACCAGTAACGTCCACCTGATAGAAGTACTATTAAAAGCTGTATGACAAACACATCCTGCAAGCTGTGTATTTGTAAAAACTGAACAATTTGAAACTTTTTTTATTCATTTTAAGAGAGCGGTACAAACAGGATTTTCCTGAGCTCATTGTCAGGTGCGCTGGGCCCCGCTGCGAGATGGAGAGATCATGGACACAAGGAAGTCCGTGGGGGCCCTGAGGACTTTAAACACGCTTTGCTGTATCTGCATGTGCTTGTGTGCAAAAAATAACAACAAACACGGTCCTACAGGCAGACGTATAACACTTGAGGACACTTAAAGATTGATGAATAAAATTAGATAGCTACGTGCAAACGTGTGCTGAATAGTGAGTGAGTGAGTGACTTTACGCCGCTTTTAGCAATATTCCAGCAATATCACAACGAGGGACTCCAGATATGGATTTTCATGCGTTATGGATAAGCACTGTGTATCTTTATCTGAGCAGATATAGAGTTATCACATGTAGTGCATGAAATGTTTATTACACAAATTACTCACTTTAAAAAATTTAATACAATTCCTAATGCTAATTTCATATTCCCCTAAACTGTCTCTGATTACATAAGATGCACATGTTCTGTAGTCACGGTGCAGGACTAACCGTTATCTGAACATAACGACAGTAATCACCCTGTGTTACATACATGAGTAACAATACATCTGCTTGACTCACCGGGTGAATGGCGTGATCATTACAAAGGTCAGCTCGCCATGCGGCGCAGTAAAACAGGGACGTCCATGTATGTAGCATATACATTAAAACGCTATGACTTTGCTGCATGAACTATAAAGAAATACATTTCTTGAGTACCTTTATTTATTACATGATCAGCCCCTTTTCGACATTTAGCAAACATTATTTTATGTTTTTTAAGCTACAATCCAGCAATACAAACACAGAGAGATTCCTTCGTGTGGGGATTCATGAGGCAACGTTTGATATATACTCCCTATTTTATTATATCACTACTTACTTTTTTGATGTCATAAAATGTTTATTGATATCACAAATTCGATTTTAAGAGACTACTAAGTAAATGTATTATATGTATTTTTAGGTATACACAGAGATCATTGTTTGAGTGTTCATTATATTTATGAATATGTTTACTGCACTATCATTTCTTATGTATTTACTAAATATTCCTTTTTCTAATAGAGATATATCAAATACAAGTAAAACATGGATTTCGTCATCTACGTATATTTTGTCATTAAGCCTACAGTGAGGAGATAGTGTCACATACACTCATTTACATCCATCCTCTCACATACCCTCACTTACATCAATCTTCTCACATACCCTCACTTACATCCATCCTCTCACATACCCTCACTTACATCCATCTTCTCACATACCCTCACTTACACCCTTCTTCTCACATACTCTCACCTACATCCTTCTTCTCACATACACTCACTTACACCCTTCTTCTCACATACACTCACTTACACCCTTCTTCTCACATACCCTCAGTAACATCCATCCTCTCACATACCCTCAGTAACATCCATCCTCTCACATACCCTCAGTTACATCCATCTTCTCACATACCCTCACTTACATCCATCTTCTCACATACCCTCACTTACATCCATCCTCTCACATACCCTCACTTACATCCATCCTCTCACATACACTCACTTACATCCATCCTCTCACATACACTCACTTACATCCATCCTCTCACATACCCTCACTTACACCCTTCTCTTCTTCTCACATACACTCACTTACACCCTTCTTCTCACATACACTCACTTACACCCTTCTTCTCACATACACTCACTTACACCCTTCTTCTCACATACACTCACTTACATCCATCCCCAGTCCAAGTGAGCAAGGCTCTACAGCTGTTGTCACAACACGCACAAGCATTTATAGTGAACATATTTTCACAGCGAACGTTAAATATTCGAAACGTAATTAGACACTCAAAGCGTGCACAACATATTGCAAGGTGCATCACCCATCCACGAGATATATGGGATATTCACAGGGTGCACAACACATTCACAGGGAATATAAGCTTTTCATGCCACAACTTGCTTCATGCACTCTCGGGGTATATAAGCTATTCACACCACAGGATGCACCAAACATTCACAGTGTATATGAGATCTTCATACCACAGGGTGCATAATCCATTCGCAGGATATGTGAGGCATTCACAGGGCGCATCACACATTC